AAATATGCATTTGATTATTGGTACTACAGCCACTACAGGTAAACTACAAAGTAATTAAATTACAAATATATCACATTATATGAAAACAACTTAATTTTAAAATAATACTACAATTTAATACCTATATCTATATTAGTCCCTTCAAGTACCTACGGCTTTCTGGGCCAACTACAATATACCTTTGAATATTTAACAACGCCAGTTTTTTTAAGCGAGATTATTCTGTATAGTAGCTTCCCACACAGCATTTGGGTAATGATAATATTTTGTAAATATTTTCAAATGGTTTTATTATGAACATTTTTATAAAAATATTTTTTAGATGTTTTAAAAAAGTTTCTATGAAAATATTTTTGGAATAATCATAATAGAACTTTTTATAATTATTATTCAGTAAATATTTTATCAATTATGTTAAAATATATTTTTTAAATATACTGCAATAGTGGAGAACCAAATATTTTCAGGATAATTATAATAGAACTTTTTATAATTATTATTAAGTAAATATTATATCAATTATGTTAAAATATATTTTTTAAATATACTACAATAGGTGAGAACCAAATATTTTCAGGATAATTATAATAGAACTTTTTGTAATTATTATTAAGTAAATATTACATCAATTATGTTAAAATATATTTTTTTAATGCACTGCAATAGTCGCAAACAAAATATTTTCTGGACAATAATAATAGAACTTCAAATAGATATTTGTTCACAAATATTTTATAATACCTACCTATATGTCCTATTTATATAATATAAGACCTTTAAAAAAATTAAGGTTGAAATAAAACTACTAATATAATATAGTATTTTGGTATACTATAATATACAATATACAGAAGTAGTATAATATAGTTGTCCCGCGAAAAACAGTTTTACTTTTTGCAATGTAAATGTTGTACATATTTTGATAGACGTAAACAACATGTGGGTGTATGCTGTATAGTGTCCTGTATTAAGAATTAAGATTATTGTTATGCAATTATTATGCTTAAAAATAAAATTTAAAACATTACACCAAACAAAAACCAACTACTGGAAATTGTGTAATTATGATGTATAATTAAACCTATAATAATATTATACAAAATATTACCGTAATACAAATATCATTGACACCGTGGCTTACGCTATAGGTACCGTCCATCATACGCATATTATATCTTTAATCGTGATCATACGTGAATTGTGGGGCGACAATCCAAAACTACTATTGCCAAAATTGAAGAAATTGAGTTACCTATATATTGATTCTTATAGAAATTAAGGCAGGGAATCGAATAGTGCAATCAAATTGTGACAAAACGTACTATTTCCCTTGTTAAAATCAATCTGAAACTCATAAATGACGCAAAACGCACTATTTCCAAAGCCAAAATTTGTCTAAATGCACTATTTCCAAAATTACGTCAAAACGTAGTATTGTCCATGTTAAATAGTTTGTTTATTGACAAATTGACGCAAAACGTACCAATTCCTCGAATTGTACAAAACGTACTATTTCCAAAGTAGGCCAAAATGTACTATTTCCCATAGTATGAAGATAGGGAATATAATTGAATTAAATACATAACGTACTATTTCCAAAATCGTGGAAAAATAGAAAATCGTGATTTCTCAAAAAAGTGTAAAATGGAAATAGTACGTTTTGGATTGTCGCCCCACAATTATATTACATAATAATATATATTATTATATATTTATATATTACAGCAGGAAATCTTATAAAACAACACTATATCGTACGACGAATAAATTATGGTATTAAAATAGTTTCTGGCTTATGCCATTCCTGGAATTTCTTCATTGTAGATAAGCTATCGTCGAGATGCCCGTATGTCCATGTTACCGGCCAGCTCACCCCCTCTCCAGTTCGTTACCGGTGCAGCATATCTTAGTCCATCATGCTTATTATTAATTATTTTTATAAATAAACTGTAGTTTAATAGTTTCCCGTTTCCCACCACGGTCCACGGTCCACGAATCGCGACAAGACCTTTTAGTGCCATACTGCTGTGGTGTTCAGGTGTTGTGACTTCACTTATGGACTATATAGTTACTTGTTTATGCAGTGTTTTGTACTGTTGTGTACTATAATTGTGTACCGACTACCGAGTCATTAGACAACTGTAGTCTGTAGAAGCCGATTCATACAAACATTTAAACATTTCAACAAACTACGTTCTAAACCCAGGTAATTATTATTTTTATTACATTCATTGTTGATAAAGTACCTACCTACTTTAGTTACGACTTACGATACAAGTTTAGTATAATAATTAATAATATGTACTATGTACAATATGTACAATGTAGGTACATATTATTATGCTTTTTAGCTGTCCACAAGCCAAGATGATACATTATTTGCCGACTCGTACAGTTGCCAGTTTTATATTATTAAAACGTGTTTTTTCATTGTTTGTTCACGATTATTAATGATGTTAATTACATATTAAATATTAGGTAACTTTAAACTTAACTGTTGATTTTGTTTCAATAGACTGTAAAATGATTAAAAGTAGTCGTTCCAAACGTAGACAATTAAATGAAGAATTAAAATGTAATGACTGTTTTATCCATAATGATATTAATGTTCAGTCAACGACAACAACTTCAGAATTTATCAATGATGTCAAAGATCTTAGTAACTGTGATTTTAATAGTCCAAATAATGTTCAGTCAACGGCAACAACTTCAGAATTTATCAATGATGTTGAAAATCTTAGTAACTGCTGTGACTCGTGTCCAAATTCTACAAGCACTGATCATAATGCACATACACCTGATGTTGGTTCAATTCATCAATTTCCAAAATCATTAATTTCAACTAATTTATCTAATGCCGCCAATATTTCCATACCAAATTTAATTAGTTTACATGATGATAATGATAAAAATCTTTATAATACAACTGCATTAATGAAACAGAAAATATCAGAATGGTCAGTTAATTTTAATGTTAATCAAAATACTTTAAATGGTTTACTTGATGTTTTACGTAGTGATCCTTTTAATCTGATTAATCTGCCAAAAGATAGCCGAACTGTTATGAGTATATTAACCACCCAAACTGCACTACAAGTTTATAAAGTTGAACCAGGTGAATATTACCATTTTGGTCTAGCTACAGGTATTCAATTACATTTCAAACATATTACATCAAATACTGAAACAGGTGCTATTGAAATTGTAATTGGCATAGATGGTTTGCCTTTAACCAAAAGTAGTACCAGTCAATTTTGGCCGATACTTGGATATATTCGACCTTATAATAATTTTGTATTTCTTATTGGCCTATATTGGGGCTATAAAAAGCCACAAGATAGTAATTTATATTTGGAAAAGTTTGTTCTGGAAGCAAAAGAACTTTTAGAAAGTGGTATTACAATTAATAATATACATAAGACAGTTACAATCGATGCTTTTTGTCTAGATGCTCCAGCTAGGTCTTTTGTGTTAAAAACTAAAGGCCATACAGGATATCATTCATGTAGTCGTTGTTTACATGAAGGTGAATATTTAAATAAACGATCATGTTTTCCCTATATTCCAACTGGATCTATTACTCGTACCCATAATGATTACCAAACAAAAAAACATGAAGAACATCACACAAGTGATTTAGTATCTATACTAATAGATTTACCAAATATTGACATAGTGAAATCTTTTGTACTTGATTATATGCATCTTACATGCCTTGGTGTTACAAAGAAAATTATACTTTTATGGATTGACAATGGACCATTAAAAGTTAGAATTCCTAGTTCTAAAACTAAAATATTATCCACGTCCCTTTTATTACTTGCACCATGTTTGACATCTGAATTTTCTCGAAAACCAAGAGGCGTAAATGAAATTAGTAGATGGAAGGCTACTGAACTTAGACAATTTTTATTGTATACAGGGCCAATAGTTCTGAAAACAATTTTAAATGAAGATTGCTATAAGCATTTTATGTCTTTTAATATTGCGATGTTAATACTACTGAGTCCAGACAAAGGAGATTTTATTGATTATGCAGAACAACTTTTGAATCATTTTGTTCAATACTTTGGAACCATTTATGAACCATACTTAATATCTTACAATGTACATGGGCTTTTGCATTTAGTAGATGATTACAAAAATTTTGGCCCACTAGATAATATAAGTTGTTTTCCATTTGAAAACTTTATGAAATATTTAAAAAAAAAAGTAAGAAAACAAGAAAAACCATTACAACAGGTTGTGAAACGATACCATGAAGAAGCAATAAATAAACAAATTAAAAAATTAAAAATTGAAATAAATTTAAAGCATCAGCATTCAAACGGGCCATTATTAAATTACCTTACTGACCCACAATACCGGACAATTTATCTAAACAGATTTGTTATTAAAACAAAAAGAGAATCAGATTCTTATATATTGACAAAAGATGACAATGTTGTACAAGTAAACAACATTGCAACTGAAAGAAATACTAATGACACGGTACTGATCGGGAAAATTTTCAAAGTTAAAAAACCATTTTTTGAACAACCAATTAATTCATCAATGTTCCATATATATATTGTAAGTGAATTGGATGATGTCTATGCATTTTGGTATCTAATAGATGTCAAGAAAAAAATGATTTTATTTAAACACAAAAACAATAACATTGCAATGCCTGTAGTTCATTCATGTGAATTATAGTTTTTATTTTAAGATAATAGGTGACTATTGAATATTACTATACCTAACTAATATAAATATGATTGTGTATATGTTTCACTTTCTTAATTTTAATTTTTGTCAATTTTATATTATGATAGCAGCATGAAATAATAGTAATTGTACCTGTTTGAATATATATACTATATTGACATATTGTTTAAAAATATTAACAGTATTTCTCATCAATATTAATATTTCTTCTTAAATCTATATTTTTCTTGTAAAGTAAAATATTTCTTTATTTAGTTGTTAATTATACTTAAAATAATTTATTTTTAGTAATCATGTATATAGTAGTTGATTTCCAAAACGATAATTCTGTGGAGGCAGTACCAAACACTTGGTATAGTAATGGATCTTGTGTGTGGCCCAAAAAAGGTCAAAATATTAATAAACTTATTGAACAAAATATAAAACCTGAAGAGTTTCGACATGAAATACTAAAAGCTAAGAAAATGGGTGAAAAAACATGTAAGTATCAGTGTACTTACTTAAATATTCAACAAAAAGGCACTTACCTAACATTATTTGTATGTTATTTTATTTACTTAATTTCAGATTCTCTAAGCGAAGCTAAATTAAAAGCAAATAAAGCAACAATTACATCGGAGTTATCATCGGTTGATGAAGACGTTTATTATAAAGAGCAAAGTAAAAAAAATAAATCATCATTAAACCTCAAAAATAAAAATATTTACAAAAGTCCACCCAATTACAAAAAAACAATGATCAAAGATGTTGATAATTTGCATGGTGTTAAAAGTACGTATAAATTATAAATATGTTTTGTTAGTATAATTGTAATTTGTAAGATGGTCAATTCAATTTGTAATAGTTGATGAGGGGTCTTAAATTTTAAAGTTGTTAGGACATAATTTGATTTTGTTTTCTTCATATAAATTAATAAATTATATAGTATTTTGGGATAATAAAGTAAAAAGTATAAGGAAATACAAAATAGTGATAAACTGACTGCCCTATATAAAAGAGACGTTATATTTTTAAATTGTATAACTAACAAGTCTGATTGCTATGATTACTATTTTAGATTCTGATGAAAATGAAAATGATAATATGTTGCCAGTCATATCTTCAAAAAAAAATAATATGTTACAAACTAATACCAATAAAAAATCTATGATGCCGTCTACCTCTCATGAATTTAGTATGTATATTTATCTATTATATTTTATTTTTGGATTATAGGTGTTTAAAAGTTTAACATTTATATAGCTGACGAGGGCTCTAAATTTTAATATTGTCAGCTCATAGTTTGATTTTGTTTTCTTTTATACTAATAAATTCTTATTTGCATTCATAAAGTTCATAGTAATATAGTATTTCGGAATAGGTAATAAAGTAAAAAGTATTAGGAAATGCAAAATAGTGATGAACTGATAGCCCTATATAAAAGAGACATTATATTTTTAAATTGTATAATTAAAATGTCTGATTGCTATGTTTACTATTTTAGATTCTGATGAAAGTGAAAATGATATGTTGCCAGTCAAATCATCAAAGAAAAAAAATATGCTGCAAACTAATACCAATAAAAAATCTATGATGCCGTCTACCTCTCATGAATTTAGTATGTATATTTATCTATTATATTTTATTTTTGGATTATAGGTGTTTAAAAGTTTAACATTTATATAGCTGACGAGGGCTCTAAATTTTAATATTGTCATCAGCTCATAATTTGATTTTGTTTTCTTTATACTAATAAATTCTTATTTGCATTCATAAAGTTCATAGTAATATAGTATTTCGGAATAGGTAATAAAGTAAAAAGTATTAGGAAATGCAAAATAGTGATGAACTGATAGCCCTATATAAAAGAGACGTTATATTTTTAAATTGTATAACTAACATGTCTGATTGCTATGTTTACTATTTTAGATTCTGATGAAAGTGAAAATGATATGTTGCCAGTCAAATCATCAAAGAAAAAAAATATGCTACAAACTGATACCAATAAAAAATCTATGATGCCGTCTACCTCTCATGAATTTAGTATGTACATTTATCTATTATATTATATTTTTAAATTGTATAATTAAAATGTCTGATTGCTATGTTTACTATTTTAGATTCTGATGAAAGTGAAAATGATATGTTGCCAGTCAAATCATCAAAGAAAAATAATATGCTACAAACTAATACCAATAAAAAATCTATGATGTCGTCTACCTCTCATGAATTTAGTATGTACATTTATCTATTATATTTTATTTTTATATTATAGAGGTGTTTGATTTATAATTAAACATATGCTATCTCATAAAGCTATTATAAAAAAAAGTTTTAAATTTTTACAGGTGTCGAAAAATCTCCTCGTAAATGGTTGGTTAGGAAAATCTCCAGTACAGACGATATGGAAGAAAATTATAGAAGTCCTATTCAAAAGGCATGGATCATAACTCCGTCTCCAATCAAAGAACTAGTACTAGATGAAGAATTGAAAACTGTATCTTGTAAAAAAAAGTTGAATTTTCATTCAGAACCAAAAGAATTCGATTTAGAGTCAACCGGTATACATTTAATTTTTAGTTTTAATTATTAAACTCAATAATTTTAGTTATATCATTATATAATATATTTGTTTTAGATAAGATGAACAAAATATACCGAATTGTACTATCTTTAAAATATGATATAAAAGAACTCCTATCAAAGGTTGATCGGTTGGAAAATCAAGGCAAATATGATGAATTTGAATTGGACAACCAATCATCTGATGATGCAGTTTCATGGAATTTCCCTATCACTACTGTAAATGAAGTTTCATTATTTGAAAAAAAACTACAGGATAAAACATTTCGCTTCAAAATAGTAAATATTTTGTTTAATTTATATTATTATCAAACACAATATATTATGTATATATACTTCCCAATTACTATATTATAATATATATAGAGTTATTATTTTTATATATGATTCCATAAATACATAAATAAAATTGATTACAGGTAAAGAATCTTAGTATGTTGGTCCGCAGTTCTTTGTCTGAAACAGTGCGCCATATTTTATCAAGAATGTTCGTTAATAGTGTCTTATCGCAATATTCATTTGTTGGCCAAAAAAAGAAATTGGCATTTTCTTCCTTAAATGCCTGTTCAGTTATATTTGGTAAGCATAAAAACATTAATGCCTGACAGGCTGTATATCAAATTAATTAATTTAATGGGCCACAAAAACATGTTTAAGGGTCCATTATTGGTTCACTATTGATTCAATAAATAAAATTAGTGATTGTTCATGCAACCTAGCATTATTTTATAATTACTGTAGCTTACAAAATTTTTCCTCAACCAATTCTATATTGGTGACCTCCCAAGAACAAGTCATAATTATATTTATATATAATATTATCTCAGTAAACTATTATATATGTGTTTTTATATATATAATTTATATTGTCAATATGTATAACACATATTAATGGTGTATTATAACTGTTACAGATGCAATAAGAAACATCAAGCAATTTAAAGATGTCCCATCTTTAAATATAGAAAAACCACTCAAAGATTATTTAGCAGGAGCTAAGTTCAGGGATTTAAAAAGAAAAAATAAAGAAGATAACAATGCTATTTTGATTTAAATTATTACATGATTTTTTATTAACAATAAGTTACAGTTAATAAAATCTCATTGGCTATATGATATTATAATATATTATGTTTAATTGACAAATTGTTTTTCTCTTTGAATAATAACAATAGTGTATTATATTGTTAAGTAAATAAATAAAAATTTATAAAACATATTAATATCATTAAAATTGTATTTTTTTTAATTCATTTCACTTAAAAGTACCTATTCAACAACTATAATTATAATAATTCAAATATTTCATAAATATAAGAAAATATTTTCAGTGAAATTATATAATTTCTAAAATATTTGTTGATCATTGCTAAAGAGTGGCAAAAATAATGAGAAAATATTCCATTAATATTTAGTTTTGAAGAAGTTCACATTTTCGAAATATTACAATCATACATTATAAAAATATTGTAAAAAAATATTTTGAAAACGTAAACTTCTTGGCCAAAAAATGTTAAAAAAATATTTTCTAATTATTTGCACAACTTTTTAACAGCTATTAAAAAATATTTTGACAACTACATAATTTTCCTGAAAATATTTTTTTCATATCCAGAAAACATTATAATGCTGTGTGGGTTAATGTTAATACATTTTTCCACAGGAATACTTTTTTCGTTGCATGCAGTTAAATCTGTATGTGTGAGTGTTTTCAATTTTTTTTTTTCCATTTTACTTGCATGTTGCCACAAAAGTTATATATTACATTCCTATACATTCTAGTAATCCGTTGTTCATTATACTTTCATAGCCTTCAACTAAATATTTATGGTCTGTTTCAAATTGTTGATTAAACTCAATCTTTCTTATTATTTTGAAATCGGAATTAAAAACTTGACAAACCCGTATTACGTTCTGACAAATGCATTTAAATTAGTTTGATAATATAAATTATAATCTATAAAATAATGCGAAATGGGGCGAAAACTGAAATTTGTCAAGAGTGAATATCTTTGAATATCAAATAATTGAACTGTTCAACAGAACATCATTAAAAAAACAAGTAGGTACTTGAAATCGGTTTCACTATTACTTTATATTCTTATTCTAATTATTTAAATTTTTATCGTAACAAAAATGATTGCCTTTTATGCAAATATTTCTGTTGCAAGAGCCATAGCAGATAGTAAATTAAAATTGTCTGATTATCATAAATGGCTAAATTGGATAAAAATATGGATTTTCACGTTATAAAGTTTAGAAAATAATTGTACTAACGTAGAACATATGTAGTCTTATAATTCAACAGAGAAATAATACCAAGTGCATTTACGATAAAATTTTAAATTTCTGAGAAAATGCGAAATAAGAAGGTAAAACAACATTACTACCCATATTATTGGTCTTTGGTAAGCCACACTTGCGAGAAAGCGTGTACAACATGTGCGATAATACTATATGCCTACTCAATAAAATAAAACAATTTAAAAATGTCATATTCCAACTTATTAAAAATATAATATTATCACCAATAACCATAAAATGCTTATGTGGGCTCTTTCTTAAAAACTAAATAATTTCATAAACTATTGTTGCGTGGTCGTCTGTGGCAGACCGTCCATTATTTTGCTAAGTGTTTATTATTATTATGACTTGTGATACTTATCGTTATGAATAATACTTCGTCGAGTATATTTCGTTTTGCCACGGTTCAATTAAAAAAGCACAAAAGTCCACGTCAGCTAATACAATAGGCGTTCTTTAAAACATAGAAAGTATAAATTTATAGCCTCTCCATTAGTTGGTGAAAGTTATTCAAAACTCTTTAAAGAATCACAATGAACATTTTTACTCTAATAAACCCTTTTCTATATATACTTAATATATACAGATATATACTTAATATATATAGATTACTCAATGTGTAGTACAACACGCCAAACTAATGGTTTCATACCAGGCAAGTCGATTTAAATACTTTAAAGTAGTAGCTTCACACTTGGTGATTAAATGCTTTAAGTGACAAACTCTGCAGCCAGTAAACTCAAATGCATAACCCTACTTAGTACCTTCCAACAGGCATAGGTTGTATACTATTGTATTAGATAATAAATTCGTAGGTATACTGCTCTATAAAATAATATTTTTATCGATAAAAAATAAAATTATACTTATAATTAATATTAAATATATACATAAATTTATATATAGTAAATAATATTTAATTTCCTTATTAAGGGGCAACATTTAGGCAATTTTTAATCTTGTCATAGCCGCCCGGGATCTATGTATTAGCACTTAGTTGTAAATGATTATTAGTGTGAGTGGAATTAAATGAGGATATCCTTTTCCGCACAGGCATGCACATGTCAATAACTCGATAACCATATCATTTTCACTACACGAATCTCACAAAAACATACATTTGTTTTGACAAAATTAAAGTTATCAACGTTGTCTGATTTTGATTCTGAAAAAATATTTTAATTCATCAGAAAAATGTCTGTAGATTGTACCAAACATTTTTCGTTTTACATATTAATTTTAATTTTAGATTCGAAAAGGTTGATATTTTCAAGTTTTCAGTTAAAGTTCACAATAATATAAAATTTAGTTTTTACAAAGTGTTTCGTAGGATCTATAGATAATTTTCTGATGAGTTCAAATTTATTTTCAGAATCAAAATCGGACAAAGTTAAGTAACTTTAATTTTGTCAATACTTTAGATCTTTTCGGCTAAAATGTAGCGAGGCCCCATAAGTGAAATTGAATAATGAAAAAATAAAAAAACAATAATAGGTACTTATACTCTATTTTAATTTGTTTCAAACATCTAGAGACGTAATATATTCTGTGAAATCATAGTAGGCCATTCTTATACTTTTACAGAAAAGTAAAAGAGTAATATGAGCTAATAAAATACACCTACTTTCTGGTTGTTTCGGTGCCTCCACAATATATATTATACAGAGTGATTCACCCAGCATGTTCGCCCAGCGCCATAAATATTATTTTTGGGCCACGAGAGGACACACTTTGTTGGTCCTCAATTTTTTTGGACTATTCAAATTCATGGACACATGGATTGGATTTTTGGCATAGTATATATTATTAGATTAAGGCTTAGGAAATTTATGTGATCATAGCTCATCCCCATTTTTGATTCAGAGCTGAGCGTTGGTGCCATTAAATGTATTGATTTTACAATGATGTGAGGTTTTTTTGTGTCCATCTCTACCTTTTGTAGCAGTTAAAGTGCTTCAACTTCAATATATTTTCTGTTAGGAAAGTGAACATAATTTATACTATTCATGGGTGTATTACTACCAAATTTTTAATGAAAATCTGGTTTGTTCTTTGGTTTTAAAAAACGAATAACCATAAATACCTAATATTGTATACAATTTAATATATTATGGGTATATTTTTTTAAATACTTAGACACTTTTTGAGCATTTTATAGTCATTTAAAATGTTCGATTTATTTATTTTTTCTATCAACGTTAGTAAAAAATGCACGCTCAGTCAAAAAGCGTAACAATAATACAAGGTTCTTCATATTATGTAAGTTGGTTGATATTATTATTAAAATTACAAAAATTGTGCATAAATCTACAATAATTGAGTACGAGTGTTTGGAGTTTAAATTTTGAAAAAATTCGTTGAAATTGCAAAAATTTGAAAAATTATTTTGTAGATAAAAATATCTCACATTTTCGATTTAAATAGCTTTAAGAATTAGTTTTGCATACTGTACCTATACAATGTACAATTATTTTGGATGGAAATGAAACCGGAGACTGTAATATGTCAAATGTATCATTTGTGATGGAGCAAAAATTATATTGCTTAGTTCCCACAATTAAAAACGAAAAACGTAATAATAACTGTCGAGCTAACTGAAAGAAAAAATAAGTGCCAAAATTAGTTTTAAAAAAACTAAAAAAGGTTTTTTAATTTAACTATAATTATGAATAATATTTTATTTTAATTCATTTAACATACAATATATAATATACGGTTAACGCAGTCTGTTGTCTTTTGAAAGTCAATCAAATAAAATTTTAGAAAAAGCTCTTCGCCGTGCAAAACTAGAGAGCAACCTCTAAGCTGTTAGTATGTACTGTACGTTTGGCCATTGTCGAGAATTCGAGTGGACTAACAGACAAGATTCGAAGTCGAATTAAAACCTTTAAAAACAATTTATAGTAATGATTTAAAATATTTCCACATCCCGTATTTTATATCTTAGTGGATTCAAAACACCAATAATTAAATAAGTGCCAAAATTAGTTTTAAAAAAACTAATAGAGGTTGTTTAATTTAACTATAATTATAAATAATATTTTATTTTAATTAATTTAACATACAATATATTATATACGGTTAACGCAGTCTGTTGTCATTTGAAAGGCAATCAAATAAAATTTTAGAAAAAGCTCTTCGCTGTGCAAAACTAGAGACCTCCGTTAGTATTATGTACTGTACGTTTGGCCATTGTCGAGCATTCGAGGGGACAAACAGACAAGATTCGAAGTCAAATTAAAACCTTTAAAAACAATATTAATGATTTAAAATATTTCCACATCCCGTATTTTATATCTTAATGGATTCGAAACACCAATAATTAAATATCGTTGTGTGCCAAATGTTTCGTATCAACTTCAAAGGTCAAGACCATGGCGATTGGATAAACGTTTTCAGTCTTACCATCCCACATCAATTTCTTAGAGTGTCTAGTCCGCGTGGAGATAAACAACAATAATATACCTAATTGGTTTGTATCTATCATCCGGACCCGTCAGTTGGATCCAACAGTTGAGTGATTAATAATCTTAATGTATGCCAAGTTTCGAGTGAAACAAAGACGTCCTTTTGTTCGAGTATGTGAGGTGCCCAATCACGAACGTCCGTCTAAAAAACCCATTCGTTATAATAAACACTTAGTCAGTTGTCGAATGACCCTCGTGACCGAATATGCTTACCTCATTTCTTATACCCGCTCTGACCGACCGAGCCTCGAGTTTTTCGTTTATGGATTTTTTTCTATGTATT